TTTACTTGGAGATTTGTATGTTATTTTAGCAGATGGAATTTTTGTTATTTCTTAGAAAATCTAGAAGACTAGATTAAAATATTTTTAAGTCAAAATTTGATAATCGAATATATAACAACCCAAAAATTTTTCCTATTTTTGATGTCTACTATTTTTGATGTCTGTGATGTGTTCTTTAACCCTTGTACCGATGCTTCTCTTTGTCAGTCCAATGTATTACAAGCCACAATCAAAATTGAGTTTATACTCGTTTGTTGTAAAGGAATAGTAATCTTGATCGGTCTTAAGAATAAGCCCACTCTCTTGGGTATAGTCTTGATTTAAACCTTCTTCAAGATGTTGCCTATTCTGTCAGTAACTTACTTCATATATGGTAGTGTCGCAGGTTTTTACTCAACTGTGGGTGGCTTCAAGTGGTTTTCTCGAAGCTGGCGAGGCATGAGCAGGTTGTTGATGGTCAGAGCATATTTTACATGCTGCAGCTCGTTGTCTAAATTGTCAACATCACAACGGTGATGTGCTCTCTATAACAAAGATTTGCCAACGGTAGCTAACTAGGTAGGGTGGTGGTGTGAGTTACTATTGAGATGCTAATCCGTATGTGTGGGTTTTTTATAAACAGTATGTCCCAAAGTATTGTCAGGATTCCTAATGACAAGTATATCAAGGAAAGCTAAAGAATTATTTGCCTCCTATTCGATAGTAAACTGAATCTTGCTACTGATAGAATTTAGGTGGTTGAGAAAAGAATATGTTTTATTTTTATTTAATATATTGTGAAGGTGTCATCTATATACCTTTTATATATTAAAGGTCATATTGGAGAAGAGCAAAGTGCTCGCACCTCCAATTTCTCCATGAATACATCCGCGGCAGCGGGGGAAACCGGCGAACCCATTGTAACTCCATCTACTTGTATGTAGAATTCATGCTTACACATGAGGTAGCCAGATCTTAGAAATGCTTTAATAGCTCTGCATATTCTATAGGCATAACCTTTAACTTTTTTCTTACAATCTCAATTCAGTCAAGAATAGGTAGACTAGGGAATAATGACTGTACATCGAAACTGACTATACTGTCACTGTCTGTCAGTTTTAGGTGTTGTATAACATTGACATACTGGAAGGAATCCCAAATAAATGTCAGCAGTGTACATTCGATTTCACCATACCGTAGGGTCTATTAATAGACAGTTTTTAACAACGTTACTATTTATATAACAACGACAACAATTTAGATAAAGTATCGTATTTGAGTAAAAGTATATGTTAGATGTAGTCCTTTTATATTTACTTTCCATCCTTATTTTTAACCAGACGTTTCGAATTATTTGTAGTAACCGTGTTTTCAGTAAAATTATGAGATTTTTATTTTATTTTTATTTTTCCGTAAACACGGCTATTACGTTATCGAAGGGTCGGACTTAAATTAAGATGTTCATCACTATGAACAAGGACTTATATATATGTATTTCAAAATAATTATTAAAACATTTGAAATCATAAAACGTAGTCTATTTCGCGATAGTATCGGGATTGGGTGTGTTAAAGACCAATTAATTCTATAAAATGTTCGAATCAAATAATTTTGCCTTAAATAGTTACGTTCATGAAAATGACCAACGGTTCAAAGTAATCATTAACACGTACCGCCTTAACTGAATATTAAAATCGTGTAGCTAATGGGTCACAAAATAGTGTCAAAAATAATTATAATATACTCAACCAATAATAGAGGTGGCTACGGGTTTTATATTGAATTTAAGAGGTGGTTAATGACTGCGATTTAGGATTTTATTACTCGGAATAATTTAGAATTATGATGCATTTGAATAAAATAAAAATAGTTTTATTGCAAAATAATATACGTTATTCAAGAAATTGTCAACTGCAATTAGTTTAAAAAATATTTAGGGAAACACTTTATTGTTAAGCCTAGAAAAATATCATTTAAAATATGAACTTGGGTTATTAGATTTTTCAAGGATGAATATAATACCTTAGTCCCACCTGACGTTCAATAATACTTTTCTTGTGCTTCTTGGAGGCATTCAAAGTTATCCTTTTGGGACCGATCGCCTCTTATAACATTTGACAGCGCAAGATATATATATTTTATTGCCGTACATCATCCCGAATATTTTGAGGGTTCTACTTGATTGATTAAAAAACGTAACTTTCTAAATCAGCACAAAATGAATAGAAATTAAAATTTTAAAAGTAAAATAATCATTTCAACATATACATGTAATGACTCTATTACATGCGCACTGTTTTAGTCCATACAATATTTTTACTTGAAATATTTCAAAAGTGAAATAATATGAGGATTTGCAAATTGTGAAATTATAAAATTTAATTTTACAAAATGTATTAAATAGAATAAAGATTTTTATATGAGTACAACCACGCTTAGGTTTGTCTGCAGTTATCCTACAGATTTTTTTCACATTTGAACTTTCCTTCTCCTAATAATTAATTAAATTTAAGACTTTCGCGAATATTCATTAAAATTAAACTAATATTAATGTAAATAAAATTACTCGTATTTCTCGTCTCGTCTCCCCGTGATCATGATTGCCTCAAAGTAATCGAAACGTCCGAAGCGTGGGGAATATGTAGTTAAAATAACAAACTCGTATTAAATCCGAAAATATTAGTTTTACTTTCCTTCTTTATTTGGACCAAAGAATGTAAAGTGTGTGTTCTCTCCCGCTTTGATTTTAAAGACTTCATGACAAGTATTACGGTCTATTTGACTGTTACTGAGATAGAGCAATGACCATCAAAGGCTTCAATTACTGCTTAATAAAAACGTTATTTATTTAATATTTAAAATTAATGTAAGAAAATTTATAAGGAAAAAGGTAGACGCCCTAGCGAAAGGTAATTATGTGAAAGCAACGTATCAAAGGTAAAAGCCAATTTTTTTTGTTAAAACTGTTTTTGTTAGCCCTATGACTTGACAGCGGCATCTTCTCAGCTGGGCAGCATACGTTGAAAATCCAAAAAAATATTTTGCATATAGTATTTATATTTTAAAGGTCTCTTTTTTATTTATTTTTTATTTTTTCTATCATGGATAGTAAAATCATAATTTAACAACAATCTGTTATCTAATAAAATTACATTTTAAATATAACAATATATAAAAAAACCTTATATTAATGTAGACTATATTAAACTTAGAGACAATGTATGATGTTATGCTGGGTTGACTTGTTCTGTTTCAAATTAAACCCCCATCGACCAATGATTCATTTCGATAGTGAAAGTGTTGTACTTATTTTAACAGTAAAAATAAATAACAAATATATATAATAAGAATACTAGGAAATTTTACTTTAGTATCAAGAGTAATTACAACTTTAAGTCGTTTTAAATTTGTTTATATTATTTCCTTACAATTGGGTTTTTGAAAAAAAAAAAGTATTGATTTTTTTTATGTATTTTAAAACTTTATTATTAATTATATTGGATTTTTAATGCAAAAAACTTGAAATATTTTTTTTTAAATTAATTATAAACAATTAAAAATTGATAAAATTCTAAAATATATCACGTGACTGTAAACGCGCCATGATTGGTCAGCATACTTGTGACGTCATAATGTTAAAGCAATTTCATAATAGTACAGTGTTTATGGCTATTATCTTTAACTTGATAAAAATATCTCAAATTTATTAGTGAAAAACGATTTGAAAAGTTTATTTCGACTATGTGTGATAAAGGATTTATAAAAGCAAAATCGGATAATATTCCTGATGTTGATATATTTATGATAACTAATTTTTTTTAAAATGACGTTCGGTTTAATTCTGCTGAAGTTCGAGGTGATAAGGCATCAAGGTAAGTCTGTTAAAAAATACTATTCTAAATGAAAATAAGTATTTATTCTCTATTAAATATAATTAATAATTATATCATTAAATCATTATTAATAAAATGTTATTATAACATTATAAAAAACCAAAATAACATATACTTTAAAAATTTAAATGTAGTCTGATACAGAACCTAGAATGTTATAAAATTATGAAAATATCTATTAAATGAAGTCCAATTATTAGACAAACATACATATAGATTTACTATTTAATCGCTTTGAATTATCAATTAAAAATTTTTAATGCTACGATTCTAAAGGTTATGATTTGGAGCCCAGGTAAAAAAATTAATTATTGAACTATACTTATTCGATTTATACACTTAGATAAATAATAATTAATAACAATACTATTATGAATACTTACAACGAAATGATCTTCACAACAAAAAAAAATGATTTTGTTTTTGAATAATCTCGATGCACTGCTTGAAACCATTTCTTTCGACGTTTTTCGTCTTGTGGAACATTTAAAAACATTTTTTCAGGAGTTGTTTTTGTAGTCTTTGTACATAATGGTACAAAACTTTTGATTATTTAACAATGCCAACAGAATTTCCTAGATAAAAACTCAAAACACTGTACTAATTATTATATCCCTGTATGCTACAATGAGCAAAAACTAACATTGTGACGTCACACGCGCTCGGGTTTATTCGCGAGCTGTCGGCGGGTCTTCGGTACTGAATTTAAAATTTAATTTTTATTTTGATATAACTTTTTAATTATTGCAAAAAAATAAAATAAAAATAGTTTTGTTATAAAACTTATATATGATCTTTCCATTTATCACAAAAAAAATAATAATTCAAAAACCCAATTGTTATAAAGAAAATAATAAATCTATCAAGATTATATAAGTTTCGATGAGGTTAAATGAAATTGAAAGCGTCTTACAACAAAATAGGTTTGTTTATTTTATTAATAAAATAAACACCGTACGAACGCAAGTAAATTTAATTTGGCTTAAAACTTTTTTGAAACTTTCTATAAACTCTTGTTTTCATACAAATTTAATGTATAAATATTGATTGATACCTTTATAAATAAAATTTATTAAAACAAAGACACCAATATTACAGTAACAATATATTTTTATATACAAAGTAGTTTTATAATATTGCAATAACGACTAGAATCAATGTTAGCATTGGCGAGAGCGGTCTAGCTGTGCTGCGCTTTAACGCTTCTAGTTCACTGACGTCCGGAGTTTCATCGAAGTCACCCACTTCGTTGTACTGCATCTCATCGTACTTACCAGAAAGAGCTGCAATTATATCATGTATTAGAAAAGTATCCAGCTCTTATACTTTATTTCACGGTACGTGGGAGGAGTTTAAATGGCCCGGTTTGAGTTGCACTTTGTAAACAAGCTTCAAGCTTAATTAGTTTTCATCTCTTCCGCTTCATAAATATGACTGTAATTCAAAAGGACCTGCATATATCTGTTTATACTAATGAAATTATCAATTTTAAAATAAGGACATTCTGTAATATAAGCAGTTGAATAGAGAAGATCTATTGTTCATATTTTTATATAGGTTCTTAATGTTGTATTTTTCTTTATTCTCATATTTTAATATGTTTTGAATATTATAATAATTATTATTTTTTACTGATAATTTTATTTATTCAGATATATTTAAATCAAATATTGTCTCGGAATAGGTAGTGACCTTGCAGGTTATAATTAGAAAGAATTGAGTGATGATCACAGTATATATTATAACGTCGAAAATACCACAATTCATTAAATGGTAATTTTGTAGTACGGGTCAGTCTTACAACATTACAAAAATTGCATTGGTAGAGAACGAAATTGTATTTTATAACTTACTTTGATGGTACAAGATATGGGTCTACCGTCGTATGCCTTTTGAAGATATTTGAGATTTTTTGAAGGTTATAGGGAAAAAAGTAATTTTTTTGTCATCTTTTAAGTTATGTCTAGTTTTAATAGCATAGTAGCTATAATTAATGTGGCTACTATCATCTCATGGTGGGTCATTTATATTCTTATTCAAGTCTTTGGTAATTCTTTGCTTTGATCGAAATTATAATTTATATTGTGCATAGTTTTTAAGTCATATAATTTTAATTTATGTTTTTGTAGTGAATTACTTACTATTACGAATTTATTCAACATTATTTTTCTATTCCTAAATCATTATTATATTTCCATAACTTTACATTAAAACGCGATTTCAATATTGCAAAAAATAGGACGGGAATCGTTGTTTCATATAACCATAGCACATTTCTTATTTATTACAAATTATATATATTAAATTATGCTTACAATATAATTTGATCGTCCCATCAGTATCTCCGAGGGAATTTTTTGATATGCAACTGTAAGTACCAAATGTACTTCTTCCAACTTTTTTAATTTTCAGCCTCATATCCACTTCGTAACCTCTTTCTACAGATGTTACTTCAAACCTTTTATCTGCTGTGAAAAAAATAATTGAAACATTGATTAATTATTCTCAACTCACACAATTCTAACATAAATATTACAACGTATACTTATTAAATTCATTTAAATATGTCTTGATTTTACAATAGAAATTATCGTTATAAATACAAGATATCTGTATGGAATACGAAATTGTAATGAGAATAAATAATTGTTTACTTACTCTGTGATATAATTTGGTCGTTAATCGTCCAATAGTTTATCGATCTAGGAAATGCTTCTGAGTGACAATCTAAATGAACGGTTTCACCTTCCTTCGCTCCTACAAGCTGATTCTGTATTGTCATAATTGGAGGGACTAAAGAGAAAAAAAATATGTATTATATTCATATATATTTCAAGCAACTAATCCTATGTCACATATTGTTAATTAGTTTATAGGCTTCTGTTGTTTAAATATATAAATGGAACCATATCAAATATCTAAGATAAACAATGACGATAACAATTAAAATATTCGTAAACAAACAAACATATAAAATAAAATCTTTTGTATACAAATAAATTATTTTTTTTACTAAATGAGGAAGGGATATTCGATCCCTCTTGTTACTTAAAGAGCCTTGCGCTTTGGTTCAATTTTAATGGGCTATTATTTTCTTTAATGTTAGAGACCGTATTGTTAATATTCGCTGTAGAAGGAGATTCATTGTCTTAACATCTTCTTGTACTGTTACGATTGTACGAAACTTTACATTTATACAAAACAACAAGTAGAAAAGATTAATTATATCATATCATAACAATATTTATATAACAGAGTAGTAACTTGTCACTGAAGTTATATTATAATATCAGTTTGTAATATTAACATTCTAAAAACGAGCATACATCCATCAACGTCCAGAAATCGATCATTACTGTAGAGTTAGCGTGCTTTACTTACAATGTACGACAAGCATGACTCGTTTGCTGACGGAAGGCGGTACTCCATTGCTTGCTATGCAGAGATACGCCCCCATATGCAGTCTTGATACCTTTACTAGATGTAGCACAGCTCCGCTCACTGACGAGTCTAGATCATATTATTAAAGTTAAATATTGAAAGCCATAACCAACTCCTATAAGAGCACTTATTTTTTCAACCATTTTATAAATGATCCTTTCAAGTTAAATTAAAACTTCTTTGTTATAAAATCTCAAATTGTAATATACATTAATTGTTCTATACAACATGAAACAAAATAAAGTTTGAAATGAAAATTTCAATCAAATAAATGTTATAACTCGTAAGTCTAGATTAACTTTTCCAGTATTTTTATTTTCTCATTAGCTAAATTAAAAATTAAGTCAACCAAGTTCTTTACCCAACCTAAAAATTCCAAACTTTATAATGACGTGCGTACCCACAGTAAACGTTGGACATTAAATAAATCTAAATTTCCATCTTTATTGCGCGAATTATTTTTATCTCGGATCGCACTTTCCGCTGAAGGAAATATAAAATCCATATTGTGAAAGTATAGTGGTTTTACTCCACATTTCTCGTAGATTGAAAGTGGAAGGGTCTTTGTGGTTTGCATGTTGCATGCTTTGAAGTTGATGTTTCGTTCGGTTTTACCAGTTTTCACTTTATAAAACACTATTCACAGGATATGAAGAGTTCAAATTCTACACATTGGTTTATTTCATGGTTTTAGAGTTTTGTAACCCTTTCAGTACATTCATTTTAATCACAAACATAAACTTGACTCATGAATAAAAAAGTAAATAAAAATAACTCTATACCTTTTATATAAACCAACATAAAAAGTTTGTATTTAAATGCGATAGTTATCCTTATAAAAGTTGTACTCTTACAAGCCTAAAATATCCTATGAGACTTAGTTATTTTAATTACAAATAATGATTGCTGTACATAAAAAATCTCTGTGTCATTTAAAATAACAACTTTACTAGGTTATAATAGAATATAATAATAATGTTACCTTAATTGACTTTGATTTAGCTTACAATTTCATGTATTGCTTACTATGTGTATCGCTAAAGTTTGCTGTGGGCAGTAAATCTCCCGCCTCCCTCCTCCATACAACAATGGGTGTAGGCACGCCGTGGGCTGCACATCGTAGTATTACATTTGCTCCCTCCCGGGCTACTTGGTCACTGCTCGTCGGATAGTCCAAGATATCAGGAGGCACTGCATTAAAACTGCTTATTTTATCATGGCCTTTGTATATATCCCTACTAATATTATAAATGCGAAAGTAACTCTGTCTGTCTGTCTGTCTGTCTGTCTGTCTGTCTGCTACGCTTTCACGCCTAAACCACTGAACTGATTTTAATGAAATTCGGTACAGAGATAGAGTTGACCTTGAGAAAGAACATAGGATAGTTTTTATCCCAGACTTTTGAAAGGTTCTCTTGGAAACGCGATATAACCGAACTCCACGCGGCGAAGCTGCGGGCGGAAAGCTAGTATTTTATATATCTTTGAGTACTGGTGGGAAAAAAATTATACATAAATACTTTCATTTGTGCTAATACATCAAATATATATGTACATTTTATCTTATACTAGCTTTCCGCCCGCAGCTTCGCCGCGTGGAGTTCGGTTATATCGCGTTTCCAAGAGAACCTTTCAAAAGTCTGGGATAAAAACTATCCTATGTTCTTTCTCAAGGTCAACTCTATCTCTGTACCGAATTTCATTAAAATCAGTTCAGTGGTTTAGGCGTGAAAGCGTAGCAGACAGACAGACAGACAGACAGACAGACAGACAGAGTTACTTTCGCATTTATAATATTAGTAGGGATATGAAAATATAATTAAAAAAATTGAGAAGATTTCACGTTATAAAGTTATAAAGATAACAAGTTTTCTAGTGGTAAACAAAATTGATTCAAAATATTAACATATATGTGTGGAAGTAATATTTGTAAAAGCATTCATATACTAGAAATTTGCTTTTCGCTTATCACAGCTGTACAGTATTATAGCAATTACATGTCGTTAACTTCAGAGTCCAAGCGACACGCACTCGCTTTATTATTCTGTAATTGGAACAAAACTTGTGAATAAAACGGAGACATATACAAATTAAAGTTATGTTAATATAATATTACCTGTATTCATTTAAATATAATATGAGTACAAAAGGTAAATTTGAATTGTAGTGAATCTTTTTATTTGTAAGTCTTGCTTTATATTCTAAGACGTAGCAATACATTCTGGATATCACACAATACAATGTTACAGATATTTTATTTTTATCTTGATTTATTAACCAGTTATTCTATTCTATTCCGTCTTAATAAAATATTTAGTACTCTAGAAGCAACTGCTTTAAGGTAATAAGTACCAAACATATTTTTAATCAGACCAGATTAAAACTAAATATATTTCATTTTAGAATATTTGAGCACTAAATACGGGAAAAGGGATTTACTAACGTTGCTGTTTACTGCATATAACGTCTCATAATTTCAATTTAGACTTTCATAAAACCTCACTGCGCAGTAATAATGTACCCTTGCATTTTTTATATTATAAAACTATATTTTCTCTGTGAAATGTATTTTAGAAATGTATTAATTATCTTACAACTTTTTTATTATATTATAAATTTATATCTATTATTATGAATAAAAACATATATTATTTAATATAGATTGTGTAATTGAAAAAAAAAAAAAAACAATTGAATTAAGAATATCAATTTTAGTTTCGACATATGTCACTTATTTATCAAGTAATGTTATTTTCTCTTCAATACTTTTTCAAATAAATTTAGGTTAACTTACAATTATGCTTTATTTATTACTTAAGTTTATTTGAAAACAATAGTTTTTTTTATTTCAAACCATATCCAAAGTAGGAATCAACTAAAATATACATTTGACAAACGTCAATTTTCATTTTTCGTATAATATTCTGAAATTAATTTATTTCTACATTTGCGTCTATGGTAGGTACGGAAATTGGAAGATGTCGATGCAGAATTACTTGGAACTCGCTTTCCCGAGGGGACAGAAATACGACAAAACGAGAAACGAGCAACAAATGAATTTTGAAATTGTTTTCACAATTATAATCAGCAAGCAAATTGATGCAGGTATAAGCGGCTTAGCTTGAAGATTCCATTGGCGTGAAATTAAATGACTTTTATGTATTTCTCTCAGTTATCACGTTCAGCTATTTGATTAAAAAAATCGGTTATTGTTTGTTTCTAGTGCAAAAAGAAAGTATGGCAGATTTGTTTATTTCTTCTCAAAATCTATGACTTCCTGTAGTAGATTTTATATATTTAGGTGCAGTTAATGTAAAAATAATACATTAATTTCTTAAAAAAGGGTATTCTACATAAATCTATCTATGGATGACTAAATATTCACACAGTTATTAAGAATTGATACTTATTTAAATACTGCTAAGAAAATGCAGAGGATCAATAAATGTTTTAATTACCGACAACATCAAGATACGCCGTCTGGCTCTTCATAGGATCTGTGTTCAACTGACACATGTACCATCCACGATCTGATTGCCGTACATCATGTATGTGCAAGAACCACACTCTTCTGTCGCTGTGGTTAACTGCTATACGATGATTCTTTGTTATCACGTGAGTTGCAATCGTCAGAATCGTCTGCGTGTCCACACGAAGCCACGCCACCTAGGCCACGCATTAATATTATTTAGTTGCAAAAAACTTATAGACTGTTATCATAGACTGTTAAATAATTATATATAGAATCAAGTTCTCTTTTTGATTAAAAATAATATGAAATCCTTGATTAGAAACTGTAAGAATTCATTATATGCTCAACCTAGTTTAAATTAGCTCAACACAGGAGTTGGAATTCTTGTTGAGGCAATGTTAAGTATTCTCGAGTTGCCCTAACCACTTGATAGAAAGCGATAGAAATATTTAAAAACATTAAGTATATTTATGCAATAAAAATTGTTTTATGAAACCGTAACTTACTAGTATGGGTATCGATGTGATAAGTAAACATTTATATGTATTAAATGCTATTTTATTACAAATTGTCAAGAAATTTTATTAACATCAAGTAATTTAAATTTACTAACATTACTTTTCTTATTCTAACTAAGAAGAGAAACATACATAAATAAAACAGTACATACTCTATAAGAGCCGAGGTCATTTACGACACACGTAAAAACAGCCTCTCTTCCCAATGATACTGTCAGGTTACTTAAACTGTTTTCAAAACGTGGTACTTCTGTAATAAAGAATGGTTTATTTTATATTAGATAATTTTAACAAACATTGAAATAAAGTTCAATAAAAACAAGTCAAACAAATTCATTGCATATTCAATTATGGCTACTAGGTCTTTACTAGCAAGACTTATTAAGGTTGATTATCTTTGTAAGGATTAGAAATGTTGTAGAATTTACATTAGAGATTAATTATGATGTGGAAATGCTTTATAATGGTTGAGTGGCTCGTGTTTATACACAAATTGTTCATAGATAGTGCGGCTTGGCCTAACATGGTTAAGTTAGTGCCCGTCCTCACGAACACAGGTATTAGCATAAATTATAATAGCAACAGATTCTGAAAACCACTGGGTAAGCTTATGCAGCAATATTCATTATTTCGGGGACCGAAACATGGCAGAAAGCTTACAATAAATTTGTGAAATTCCTTAATATTTATTGTAACAATATGGTTATCGCGTGTATATCAAGATAACTGTTTCGCCAAATTTCTGAAGCAGCTACTAATTTTAAACGTTAGTTTTTTATTTAGAAAAACGTAGGGAATTTAGTTTTTTTACAAGTAATTTTTCATAAATATGATTTGCAAAATAAGTAAGCTTATTATTGTCAACTTTATAAACGTTTTACTACGTCAGCCTTGTTATTTGCTGTTAAGTTTTCTGTTAAATCTGTAAATCTAATGAGTACATACGCGTCACGTGCAACGACCAGAGAAAGAATATTTCTATACACTATCAAATTTAAATGGAGAAATATGGTACTAGTTTGCCAATTTCTTCTTGAATAATACGGAAAGATAATGTATTATAAATTATGTATTATAGAAGACAGTCTGTTGCATTGCTTACTTGGAAAAAGATTAATTAATTAATTGCTATTAACTTGCATTTAGTTAAAAGGAATTTTTTCACATTTCCAGATTGCGGTAATCATTAAACATTTGGAAATTTCTATTTGCACCAGTACATTTGGGATAAAATCGGATTAGACTTGACACCATTCATTTTGAGAGGAATTCGTTAATACGTAAATATTCAAAAGTCCCATGAAAGAGATTTGTATTATAAAACAGTAGCATGGTATTATTGATAGGATTTATTTTATGCGCTGATAAAAGTGGAATAATTAAAAATATTATGTTATTATATAAAAATATGCAAATTCTGTTCAAGGCTGGATTAAATGTGTTGTAAAATAAAAGTAAACGAGGGATTATTTGTGAATAGTAAACATGATGATATTATATACATGTAAACTGGTTTGCCTATTTAAATACAGTGAAAATATGTTAAACTTTTTAATGATATTTATTTGGTAATAGAGAACGAATTAGTTACAGCCCAAAAAATATCGATATTTATTGAATCTCTTTAATAATAAATATATTTATATTGCGAGACATACAGATAGGGATAGCAAAAAAAGAAAACACAAAATTTTTGATTCAGATATATTTCAAAATTCTAGTATTTAATTTAGTTTAATAATTTGGAATCTGAAACTAATTGAATTTTGGGTTGGGTTTAAAAAACAATCATATAATATTTACAAAAGAAAATGCATTTGTTACGGCAACTCGACTGCTTTTAAATAACATTAATTTTGCATTGGGATCATTAATTATATGTATAAAGTAACCTAATATTATTCATTTTAAGTTATTTTTGTCTTAAGTGTATGGACTTGAACTATATAACTCAAAGAATAGATATATGTAAAAAGAAACGCAAAGCTTAATATGCCGAAGAACAACTACCCCTTTACAGTGAAACGTTAATTCAATGATATCTATAATTTTCACTAGTATAATTTAGTAAAACTATAATTTTCAGATTTATTTATAACATTTTTTAATACGTTTTAATAAATAATTATTTATATAATATTGTTAATCCGAAAATCAGAACTTGTTTTTTAATAATAATGATGGGCCCGATAAAAGAGTATATGTTTTTAATAAACATTGTCCTATATATATAAAATACTTTACACAAAATTTTTGGATGGTTTGCATAAATTTGTTGATTCATAATTAGTCTTACAATTTGAATGTGATTCCAAAATAATTTATTTTGTTAATTATCTTAATTGTATAAATTGAGCAATGTATTCTTTATTTAAAAGATATTCCAATTGAGCCTACTCAAATAAGCTATAAATATGTAAAACAATTTGGCACAAAATATGTCTGTTAAGTGTTCTTCAAAATATAGCTATTCACTTCAAAAGTCTCTTTGTTTTCAAAAACAAAGAGTTCTAAATTTACCCAAAAGTAAAATAAATGATAATTCTTTTTACGATACAACTACTACTTTGTGATTTTGATAATTTTTTGTCAATATCAGCCTCAAAGGACTTTTATGTTTAGGAATGTCTTTGTAATAACAAATAATTTGTCAAGTATTGTTCTCATTTTAATTGTTATTTTAAATTACACAAAAGTCCTTACATTAATCGTACCTAATTATTCTGGGCCTTGAAAAAGTTTATCTTGCTGTGAAAATCACACCATTGTTCCCAAGTTTAGGTACTACGAATATAAATTGCTATATATACAGATATAATAGCTGCCGCCATTTTTATTATTCTTTCTCCTTATTTAAACATATGGCTCCCTTTTATATTTTAACGAATCAACCAATTTAAATTATATTTAAACAGGACTTTACACGAGTTATGTTTTTTTTTTAAATAAATGTAGAACACGTTGTTCATTTTCATACTTGTTGTATTATTAAATACTGTATGTATGTGTGAATTAAAAAGTACCTCATTGTTTATAAATGTATTTGGTACCCCACAAAAAACAATTTATTATCAATTACTTATTGGCATTAATTTCATTAATGAGACGGTTTTAATATATGCTGTTCCATCGTTTTCCTCACTTTCATTTTGCTTGCACGTACAACTTTATTGTGAGTATAAATATTACCGCCGGCGGGTGTTGTTTTCTCACACGTTCATTGCTAAGCATTTATTGTGCCTAGAGCAAATTTGCTTGCGCAGCGCAATATCTTAGTGAACGGGCCTGAGGGAGCTATCTTGTTTTATTTACCCGCCTAAGCCGATAATGAACGCTTTTTCCCGTATCCTTGCGAAAAGTCAATACACTAAAGGTTCAATAAAAGTTAAAGCCAGTTGTCGCTCGTGTCTCAACTGTGAACCCTTATGCTATGGGTTATATTGTTCAATGGACAAATGACATACAGAACTTACGATCTTCCTTATAAACATAAAACAGGCACTTTTTTGCTTTTATAAACGAAAATGCTGATAAGATAGAATACAATATTAATATGTTTATTGCCAGTAAAACGTCAGGTCCGTCCGTATCGTAAAATGTCAGAGATTGTGTTTACAGTTCATAACTAAAGCAATATTAATTTATGTTGCTTGTACGTGATGTTCTAGCTTATTTTTAAGAATTCTTAACAATATATAAAGGTACTGTGCGGGCAGTTGAATATTGTATATTATACGGCAAAAAGGCAGTAACAAAATACGATCTTTATCTTTTGTAAGTTCAAGGGTATGTACGGTAAACTTACAGGTATAAGTATAGGTAGGTCTTATATTTATGTTATATTTCTCATTATATTTCTCAAAGTACTTTTAAGTTTCGTAGGAGAACATGTATTATAATTCAATACCATAATTAAAATATTTTTTCAGAAAACATTTGTATATTTTTATAATAAAAATATACTGGTAAAATTTTACAACTTTTCATGCTTATTATATAAAATAAAACAGTGAATATTATTTATTCATATTAAATCAGTAAAACTTTTGTAATGTTATAATTTATCATCTTGTAATAGGTGTTTTATAACCGATTTCTTTTTCACTGAGTTCGGTCATCCGAACTCTTTAAATGCTGCAAAACAAAATGAACTTTTATATTTATAATATTTTATTGTAGTATTATGCATTATTATGTTTAAATAATGAAAATAGTATTCAAGTAGGTTTTTACAATAATTTATGACTCGTTTAGTAGAATTTGGAGTTTTGAAGGTATGAATGTAAATTTCACAACATTATTATTCTTTTTAAAAGAATATTTAAAGCGAAATAAGTAACGTAACTTTTAGTATTTAATAGTTTTATTGACTACCATCATGTTTATGTCAGTAAGAAAAGTATACGGGAAATAAAGATAAACTAAAATAAGGATTTCCATTCCTTCGTTTCACGAAATTTAAATGAGAACATTGCGCTTCATTCCAAACTAGATATCTTTTTTAAAAAAGAGCAAATCTATGCGATGGATAAAAGGAGGAGGTAGGATAGAGCAGATGTTGTACAGGTCCAAAGCGCACTTTACTAAACTTATACGATATTTTTTTTATTTTGTGGCGAAGCTTCCACTGATATGTTTTCTCAACTTTGAGTCTGTTGTTGTTTTAGTAGATAGTATATTTAAAGAAAAAGATGAAAGTACAATTTTATTCACTCACTTAATTAACATTTTTTATGATTAATGTTAGTCAATTAATGTTAGTCATTTACTCAACGACTTTTAATTAATTGTCAAAATAAACGTTAAAATAAATATTACGCCTAGAAAATATCTCTGGATAAAAAAGTCGATATTCTGAATGTGTTTATACATTAAGTGACTTTGCCATAAATTATATTGACTGGTCATATTTTCTCAACAAAACGAGTCAGGTACAAGATAACGCTTTTAGGCAATGACTTGTATAGAGATTGTTTAATATAAATATTTGCATATTACATCGCAACCTTGTGCCTTGCCACCTTGTGACTTGCTATCGTATTCTGAAAATTCTCGTCACGCAAGCCTTAAATATAAACTTAAACGTACTATAAACTTTATACTTGTATGTTATGAGTTAATTTAGTCTTCCGATAGATAAAGCAATTTCAAATAGTGTTTGTAAGTGTTCTATAATAGTATTTTATTATATGTATTTTCAAATTCAATTCTGTCTTTTTCTATATAAAAGTACATTATCATTGGCATAAAGTTTTTAAGCGATAAAATCAATTTTAAGTTAAAGAATAATTTATAAGACGTTTAATGTCTCTGATAATAAACACTGCTATTTGAAAATATTATAACAATCTAGCAAATTTGTGAACGATCTGCGTGATTCAACAACTTTTCCTCGAAGTTAGCCTTACAAACTTTCCAGTCGTGTTCCTAAAACCTTATCGTCCGTAGAAGTAACAAGCCGAGATAAATGAAGTTTGGTTGTTCTTAATTTAATGGCTGGTGGGAAGTTAGCGGACGTGATCATGGGATGCATATTCTGGGCATTTATTATTATTATGAAACATAATGTGTCCTTGAATGAGTAATATATTTTTATTTTCTTTTTATATTAAGATTTCTGTTTTCCAACTATTAAGAAATAACTTATTTATTTTTTTCAGTTAATATTAGAGAAATCAATGCATTTGTTAATTACATATATGCTAGAATACGATTATGCTGGTAAATGTGAATAAGATTCCATATTTATTTGTCTTTTATGGACTTGTTTTGTCTTGTTTGATTTGAAAATAAAGATTACGAAAATGTGTCTTACTACGTATAATTATAGCATCGATTGAAACGAATATTTTAACACATTTACATGACTAAATGTAAATTACATAGGCATATAAACATACAAACAGAAAACAGAAATAATAATTCTAATTATAAAATATACATATATTTTATTAACTTATTATCAATTGTCCAAAAGTCACATAATATATTTTTTTCGGTTTTTGTAATTGGTTATTTGTGCGTCGGCCTCCAGACCAGACATATTTCTATTTTCGCGTATTTTAAAGCGCGTTGTGATAATAGAGCTTACGGTGCCTTGGGAAACCAACATCCCCAAAGACCATGCCATCAAGGTCAATAAGTATTACTAGTAGCTCACTAACGAACTAACTCGAAATAGGTTAGTCGTTGATTTGTACGCGGTAGAGGTGGGAGCGAGAACAGCTAAATCTCTCTATAACCTACTAAAAGACTTGGGCCTGTCCAGAACTAACATTAATTCATTCTTGGAACGTACGTCGAAGGCAGCCCTAGTGGGTTCATTTCAAATTTGGTTAGGTAGGGAGAGGAACTTGGACAGTGGAGGTGAGCGTATAACGCGCGTTATTTAAGGGGCCCCTTAAACCTACACCTGGTTCGCAAGTCCCAGGCACTGTTTAAGCTCCTCTCCCTGCACCGCGATTGACCCGGCACCCGCACGGTGAATCCATTGAATGCTAAGAGGTTTCGTCTCTTTCTAATTTATTTAATTTAGAAATTAACGTATTTGATTACCAGTTGGATCAAAAATAAATTTCTTTTTTATTTATTTTGTTAAACATTGGCACCATTCCTCAAATAGTTACAGTTTAAAATACTGAAATTGTAACCACAATCTGTGGTTCCACCAAAATTATTGGCCAGATGTAGACATAAAATATTTTTCAATGAATTGTATTACAAAGTCCCACGGTTTTATTTAAAAATAAATTATGTAAAGCTAAATTTAATGCTTTTATTATAAGTTTTATTACGATAGATGATATCTCAAAGTTTTTTCCGTTTTTACCGGTTACGAATTTGAATTTTTAAAAAAGCCATTAATGGTATCGAATCTCTCTGAAAATAGTAAAAAAATAATTAAATACGTATATAAATAATATTGTTTCGTCAAGTCTTTTTGTATAAGATTGTCGGTTTTACAATGAAATGAAAACATAAGGAATTGTTCAATCTAAGATAGACCTTGCGAAAATGACTAAATCATTGTTTCAATATTATTTACGATAATGATAGGTTTTAAATTATGTTAATAATAGTTTATGGTCGCAACTTCTTGAGCGTCGATTTCGGAATTGGTTTCAGAGATAAGATAATAACGTATAATTTGATAAAATTTGCATGATAAATGGGTGCCCAACTGGTAAAGCTATATAGACATATATATGTTTTTATGATATTTGAGTCAATATATTTTATAACAATTGATCCTAATGGTTATTTTTACGTTTGAGACTGCTTCACTGGATACTTTAATTTAAATTTATTCTGTAGTTTTTATTTGAAAGACCAAAAAACATTCTCACAAACTTTCACCTTAAAAGAATTAGTAGGATACTGCGTTTTAAATTATACTCGGGATAACTTTACACATTAAAAGTAACAACATCTTTTAACAACGATATTGCGAACATTTTATTTATTTCTTAATTAACGTGTGTTTTTTTTTCTTAATGTATTTTCATAATTTTGAATATAAAACAATTGACAAAATAGCAGAAAATAAAAAAAAATCAACGTATTTTTTTAAATTATATTTTCAAACTTATTTAATAAAACATAAATTTGAAAATAAAAATTTATCAACTAGCGTCAAAATACATTATTGAGTTCCATTAATTAATTTTAATCCTATCACAAAAGAAAATCCATTTCAAAGTTTCCTCCATGTAATAGGTTTTATTGGGGTTGCGTGTTAATTCACTGCCATTAGATACGATCGGCTCTAGTTGATTAATCAAGTCTATGTTTTCAGTTACGGGATTTTCTAAATTGGCAGTGTAAGTGAGACAGGCGCTTGACGCCGCTAAGCCGGCACAGATCCGGGCTTACGTTATAACAACAAACGGCCCCTACATGTGTACAAAGTAAATTATTGTTGTGTTACTCTTGTTTCTGTTGTTAATTTGGGATTAGGGATGAAGTGGATATTTTATCACGATATAACATATTAAGTTAGGTCCAATCAGCGTTGTATTTACAATAAATTTATAGGATCTCGCTTGGAGGATTAAGTAAAATAAGACAAGGTACAGATAAAAAGGTCAAAACTTTATTTATTTCTATACTATTATTGATAGAATAGTTCCACGTGACTTCGATAACTAACGTGAACAAACTAAATAATTTCTGTTTAAATATTCAATCAACTTAAGACAATTACTGTTCATAAACAGCTTAAGTATTGGAGAATGAATATAAATTGTTTGATCACAACTCAAACTAAAGGTCTTTGTTCTGCAAATATAAAAAATAAGGAATGAATACTAAATTTTTCAACGACAAAAACTCAACAATGTTCACAGGTGTATTGTTCTAAACTTTTATTAAAATGATCATTTTCTGATGTTTTATTTTCTTGTTCATGCTCTCATTATTTTCTGTCATCATCTTTCCTTTTAACTGCGACACGCGAGTAATAATTAAAAGCTTTTGTCTCTTTCATTATACACATCACTTGCACATAGAAATAAAACATTTAATAAACTTTTTGCTGCATGCCTATAAATTCATATATCTATTTGAAGAAGTAAAAATATCTGGATTACTAAAGATTTAAAATCTTCACAAAACAAATAAATACATTTTAATTTGTTGGTTTAATAAAAGAATCTTCATTTTCATCGTTACTTGTTATGCTTAATTATTAACTGTTTTTTATGAAATATTTAGATTTTTCTTCAACTTGTTAATCAAAAATACTAATTAAAGATTTAAAAAACATACCAAACTTTTATTGTACGGAACTTTAAATAACTTTGCTTGTTCAGCAATGCCTACAATGAAATTTTTGAATGATTACATATTATTTTCTAAGAAATACAAGAGGGTTCCATTCGCTGGTTGTTTACAGTAAGGCAAGTTAATCAAAGTCTGGCGCAGTCTCTCCTTTGTTGTTTGGCCGAATCAACTGTGGAAAAACACTAAATTGACTTCCTTTATGCTTAGAAAGGTGCGTTAAGCTGTGGACTCCATCTGCCGTCTGTGATAGAAGAATTGAAATCAAATTAGAAATTTAAAAGTTTCTATTTGTATGTAATAAATTTCTTTTTTCCGATTATTTACTTGTATTACACATAATATATATTTCTCGAAGTGATGTCATATTTTTTTAATCGTACTGTAAATTATAGATAGATTTAAACTAATTAAAATTCCTTTTTATAATTGACAATATCAAGGAAAGAAGTGTATTTTTTATGATGACTATTTGTATCAGTCAGTTAGTCAAAGAAGTCTGTGAAGTGGCGTTGTGGGTTATACTCCAAGTTCTTTTTTAATATCGAAATAATGCTAATTAAACTAAGGCAAAGAATTCATACATCATTTATACATCATTTCAAAAACTTGCCGATAAATAAAACAGTAAATTAGCAAAATTAATATTTTAAATTTAGTTATCTTTGCTTGTAAAATACCCATTTGAAACAATCAAATAAATGTTTTCCATGAAAGCATTAATTTATATATTCATGAATTATGCAAAGTATACAAAATATAGAATTCGGAAATAATTAAATACAAACAATAAATATTTATGCCATTCTGATTTGTATAAAATTAAATAACAGCCAGTAATTTTTTGATCATATTAATGAGGTATTATATTATATATGATCTTAAATCATTCTTGAAGTATACTTTTCTCTGCCACTCAAAATGTATTCAAATGGTAAAAAAATATATATTGGTAAAAATAAAAAATTAAAATATTTTAATTGTTTAGTTAACAATTTATTTACGGATAATTAAAATCAATAACGGGTTTCTAAGTAGACGTCGTAGCAATACTTTTTCATTGTGTTATAAATTATTTCCTTATTTAGAAAAATAATTATAATTTTCTTTTTAATTTTAACGTGTCATGGCATTTTAATTACATGAATATTTTATTTATAATTCTATTGTATATTAATTCTTACCGACAGAATCCTTAAAACAAATCACTACGTGGAAGACAAGTCCAAAGTGTACATAAAATAATATCTTCCCCACCATCATTAAGTTCACATTGCACCACAGTTCACTAAACAACAAACACAACTTTTAATTACTTATGCCATACTTTGAGCGCTAACGTCGTAGAGATTAGAAGTTGGTGACTCGTTTGACGTAGTCGATGTGTGCGGCTTTCTACGGACCTATGGCACGACTGAAGTCGCTTTTCAAACAGACTCAGAGTAAGTTCTCTAACTCTGTGCACATGCGCCTGATAACCCTTACATATAAATCCCCTTGATATTCAAAACCGGCAAACGAAGTTAATGGCTTTTAAGTAATGGAGTAGAAACGTTTGACGGATAATGTTAAATATCTTGAAAGGAAAATTCAGCGCATTTTTATTACGATTTGCATGCTAGAGACAATATAATGGTGATGTTCTTTTATAATATCGTTGCATTATTTAATGAATAAATAAACGTATCAAAATAAATACTAAAAATAAATGGTTGTTCTAGATGGCTTACAATAAAATCTAATAAATATTAACATTTCATCTTTTTAGAAGTACTTTTTTGAATATTTTTATTTCAAATCATTATTGCCTTGCAAAGACTCATAATATAAGAGAGACAATATGATAGAAAACTGTTTCCTAAACTCGTTACCTCGGGAACGCTTTGTTCTTATTTTAGTTATATTTCAACTCTCTTGTTATTTTTAGATTTTTTCTTTTAATTGAAATGTATCTTGTAGCTTGGAATAATAGCAAAGAATAGTTTTATCTCAAACAGAATACGCTGTTTAAGTTACAATTAAACGTTTTATCTTTTTGCTATACATAATATAAAGTCTAAACATGGTAATTTAAAAAAATCCTTGTTCACTATTGATAGTGAACTAAAAACAAAATAGGATATTTATTTAATAATTCTCTCACTTAAACAATAATATTTGACGTATTTGTTTGAATTTTTTTATACTAGCATTATTCTTTCTACCACAATAAGTATCTGAATATTTAAGAGGTTAATGAATTAGGAACATAGGATACATATAAATAACAAATTATCCATTTTTTTTAATCTATTTTTATAAAACTTATCAATCATTCTAACATAACGATTGTTATGTGTACTTGACTAAATCTTTACACTTGCATTTCTAGTTCCATTGATAACTGATATAACTATTTCTTAAGAAAATATTTATTTTTATATTTTTTGAATGCCAACGACAAAATTGATTATAATATGATATAATCTTTTTAGAGCTTAGGTATCATGGAATAGCCGATATCAAAGCAGTCCTCATTTATATATCTTTTTATATTTTCTTTTTCAAAGACTTTTATCATATCTTATTTACATTTTTCTATTTGTATCTCGAAATAAGTAAAAATTTCCAATCTTACTTAGTGGAAACATTAAAAACAAAAAATCATGAAACACAGTTCCACATATGCTACGTTATTATCTGATAGGAAAATGTTTTCTGGTAGGTGGTCAGATATTTTCATACTTGAACGATAAATACATACATATTTTTTTATGAATTTCATTCTTAATACTTCAGAAGATATCAGTACAATATTATATTTTTGCTGGAGGGTACAGAATATATGTTACTCTGAAAACATTGATACTATCTTACAATTACTTTTAATGTATAACAACACCGGAAATCTAGAGTTCCTTTTTGATTGCCTCTAATTTATTTACATTATCGCTCCCTGTATTTCTCAAATACCATTAATTCCCAGTAAAACAACATATCCAAAATTTTACTCTGTATGTAAGGCGACAGATACCTCTAACTGTCAAGTGGAATATATCCGTTTGGCGTTTTCTCTTCCTATTTTATTTCATATTTCAGCATTGATTACTGTCATCTGCTTATTTGTTACTTGTATGTTTTCTATTACTTCATAGATATTAAAAAATCTGTCATAAATATCGATAGGCAAATTGTATGTGTATTTTGCGGTAATGTTAACCCTAGACGCTATTAATAAAGACTAGAGCATTATTATTAATATTCCTATAGTCCAACTTTAGGGTTGCTTTAAAGTTTCTTGACATCTAAAGCAATGTTCGTTTGTTTGTTAGCAGATGGTGTATTTTGAAACGGGTACCATTGACTGATAGTGAAATAAATTTTTTCTCCTTAAATTTTCCTGTAAAATAATAATATTTGAAATTAAGTAAATAAAAAAATAGTATTTATATATAGTGTACTAAAAATCGTCACGATTCATTCAGTAGTTTCTAAGAATATTATGATAATAAAGTAAAAAGTACAGAGACAAATGAATATCGACGCTCGTAAAATCTTATGTGACAGTTTATACTTGGATATGAATCAGAAGAAAACATTGTTCTGACCCCAAATAAAAGTTACATAACTATAGAATGAACATTTGAAATGGTTATAATGATATATTTAATCCATATAATGATATATTTAATGTAATAGATGATATCACCACGCAGTTCCTGGAAAGCAATAATCTTACCTCTTTAATGTTTCGTATTAATCAAAGAAAAATTATCCATAATGTGTATCCATTCTATTCAGAGCTATAAGTATTTGTTTTATTGAATTAAGCTATGTCTATCACTATCTATTTGGCTTAGTTTTACTTATTTTATTGCAAAATCTTTATTTTTTGTTTTCGTTTATTACAATTATATATTAACTTGAAAGTCACTTTAAAATTCATAAACGTAAAAATCAATGGTAGTATTGCAACGTATTTATTGAGAAGACTTTCATTTAAGTTTGAAGAACACTGATTGAATATTGAAATCTGACACTTCTATTGTCCTCGTCATAATTTTATATGTTATCCTTTACCTCGCGGGGCTACCATCTATGGTGAAAACTACTCGTATATACTATATCGGAACAAACTACGTTGTTGTCAAAATTAAAGGCCTGTACTTAATATTAAGTAAATCTATCAATTTTAAAAGAGTTAAGGTTATCTATCACGTTTAATATTAACAAAAAAATAAACAGGGTAAAAACATAATTTTGTTTCATACATGAAATGCAATATAGTTAACTTATTATTACATCATACCACGATATTTTATTAAGTGGCATTTTGTAGGTGGACTTACGACATGAATGGGATACGTTTCATAGTATATTACATATGACGACTCCTAAGGTTAAAACCTTCGGCTATTATAAATATTTTTTTAAGGTTTTAAAAAAGATTTCAAAGAAAACTCAAACTTGAAGTGACTCAATAAGGAATCTGTTAACAAATGCAACTGAGAAATTTGTAAGTATATATGCATATGCAATGTATTATATCCATAAAGTGATATATGTATAGTAATTATTCAAAAGTGATATATACTCCTAATTATATTAAAATCTTCTAATTTATATACAATTAAATGTAAAGACTGAAAAAGTTTTACTATTTCTTTTAGAAAATATCTAAACTTTTAAATGTATCTGAAATGATAGCGATAAATCATAAGTTTAATCTTCACAATCTTCACAATTATAATATGTTTTATACTCCGTTACGCACATAATATTAAAACTTTATTATAAGTTCGAAGTTTCTTAAAATGTTATAAAAATCTGAATATTGAAAACTTCGAAAAACGCTTAGTCTAAGTAAAACTTTTCAATTTTGTTAACCATTCTCTTTTATATTTATATTACGTTAATATGTGCTAGAAAATTTTTATTTCTTATATAAATGACTCTTTTGAGTTTTATCTTCAATTTTTTTTCAAAAGTGGATGTTAATTTTCATAATGTGGTGGTATTCGTCACTTATAGTATGTAGTACAGAAAAAAGAGCAATATTATATTACCTGTTACTGGCAGAACTTTTTGTTATAAAAGGTAATAAAAATAATATATGAAAACTAAATATGTAATAACCGTGTTTTATTTCTAAAAAAAGATATACTTCAAAAAACTGAAATGAAATAGTAAATGATGAATGATATGAAAATATCACAACAAATAACGCCTTTAGCAATATTCACTGTAACACCGAGGTTCAGTTTTCTGTTACGAAAAATACATTTAATTTGTAAAGTAACATGTTTGTTTAGTTAGGGTTGTCTTTTGTGTTCCATTGGTAACAAACTAAGCCCTTTGTCCGCAACCCCACGAGCCTAGGGCGGTTTCCTTATCACTGCGTCCTTTTGCTAATACATCAAGCTACATAATGGTTGCAAAAACTAAACATCTGTATTCGCTTTTAAATGGAAATACATTTATGTGAATTAAATATAAAACTTTAAACTGTTGTGCCCTGAGTCGAATAAATGAATGAAAAATGCATTTTATATATTCAACCGTCATATAGGGATGGAGGTGAAATTAATTAGGTTTTTTTACGAAAATCATGAATATAATTTCTTATTTGTAAAGGTGCTATTGATATTAAATTTGTAAAAGTAAGTTTTTGCAATATGAAAGTGTTTTATGAAATTATATAAATGTATATGTATGTATATCCTCAACAACTCGAGACAGTAAAAGAAAGCCTAAATATCTGTCAAAATTAGCACAACACTGTTTTCATGTATTTTTTTACTATTCGTTTCATACTTTACTTACACAAGATTCAATAATTATTTCGGAATTTACCTATAAAGGTATAGGAAAAGTATTTCTGTTAAAGAATAAAATAAGTAAATTTTTATGTTATTTTGTTTTATAAATGGGTAAAAATTGAAAAATAATACGCTCTTTAAATAAAACATCTCTTGAATGTTTAAATATAAGCCTCGGAAAAAGCGGAACAGCCAAAATGTTTACGCATCGCTCGTTTCGACTTAGTTGAAGTTTCAGTTTAAATTTCATAGCGCTCTTAAACTCGGTTAAATTCTGAATATCCTCGCGAGAGTTGGCTCATAATGAGCAGTAGCTTTTGCAAAAGAACAAGATACTTGTTCATATTATAACTAAAGGTTTACACTGTGGTGTTTCAGCTAATAAGAAAATCTGTCTGGAAGGCATTAGTTTTAACATATATGGTATTATCTACTGATATAATATAAAATATACTGATATATTTT